ACATCTCTACGTATGTTCTTCCTGTTAGCAAAGGCACACTGTGACAGCATCCACTTTCTACATGCTAATACATGCACAGTATTGTTCAGGTGAGTAGATATTTAACTGACAATCTGTTGTGATTGTCACATTAAATGTTGCATGATTGCGGATGTAAAAGTTAAAAACTGCCTGAATAAGAATAACGGTTATAAAAGCTTTTACGCAAAAAAATGTATAAATTTATACTTCAGTGTGAAAAAGCTTCCACAAGTAAAAATATCCTGCCAAATGAAAATAGCAATTCTTGGTGTTAAAACACAAGTACATGTAGTCATTAAAGGGAATATACAACGTTTGCTTTTTCTGTAATTTTGTTGTACTGACTTTTTTAAGTTTTGTGTTCGTAGATGCTGGAAAAACCAAGAAAAACAATCATGACCTTGTAAGCTGGTTCCCTGACCCCACTGAAATTGAATGGTGACAGTCAGGCTAGCTTGTAGCCATTCATGGGTTGTATCATTGATTGCAAAGAAAATGTGGACTGACTAAATACGGTAAATTTGGGACAGTATGTGAAAAGAGTCAGATTTTCCAAAGGCTGGTCGGTCAATTAGTGTTGGAAATTGTACAGAAATACCACTTATCTTAAAAATGATGGCACACAAGGTAACATGATTTTATAGGATGCTTTAGACTGTCATTTACCAACAGTCCAGTAAGGTATTACATAATAATTTGGTAGTTTTGTTTTGTGATGTATGCAAATGTTGTATTTTCCTGATTTTTAAAAAGGTTATAATGTTTGTACTTTGGACAACGATTGCACTTGGCATGTGGAGTCTGACATAAAAAGGACCTGAATACATTTCTAGAAATAATATTTACACTTTCAGTAAAATGCAACTTGAAGTGATCGTGTCCAATAGTTGCTGAGCAGTTTGCAAAGATTTGTTGTGCCAAAAATTTACCATGCATAATTTGTGTAGAGTGCTGTTTATGATCAAGCATTTCATGTTTTGTTTTATTCAGGGAAAGACATATGCAAACCTATCAGCTTCCAAAGTCGGCAACATCCTGCTGTCACTACAGTCTCAGCACCTACCAGCTCCCACTCTGTCAGCAACATCCTGCTGTCACATGTCCAGCTACCGGTACTTGAAGTTACTGTGTGCTTGTACATTCTCAGCACCTACTAGCTCTCACTCTGTCGGCAACATCCTGCTGTCACATGTCCAGCTATTGGTACTCGGAGTTACTATTTGCTTATACTTTCTCAGCACCTACCAGCTCCCACTCTGTCAGCAACATCCTGTCCAGCTACCGGCACTTGGAGTTATAGTGTGCTTGTACATTCTCAGCACCTACTAGCTCCCACTCTGTCAACAACATCCTGCTGTCACACCTCCAGATATGTGGAGTTATTGTGCTTTTACAGTCTCAGCCAGTATTGGATTGCAAGTTGTCTTATGCTGCTACAACCTACACATTTAGCATTCTCTTGAACCTTGAGGAACCACCATATGAACAAAGAGACAGTCTCTGAAACACTCATAATAAACCTGTCACGGTGGTTTGTTGAACATTCGTATTATTTGGAGGACTTGCAATTAGCTCATATAGTCAACTAGCTATTCCAGTCCTCTGGAAGAGTTTTTGCTTGAGGTTATTCTATACTAGTAGCAAGCCTTTTTTGTGCACGGTCAAGAGTAGATCGAGAAAGCAGTTGTTTTTAAGGGCAAAACAATTGTTCTTGTTCCTTGAAAAAGTTGGTCAAAACATTTTCCCAACCATTTTTTTATTTAAACAGTAAGATAAAGGGCAACGAGGACTGTTTAATGCCATTTCTACATGGTAGAAAAACAATTCAATGCTAATTTTTATCCAAGATATTCAAAGTTTTGGTGTTATTGGCAAAGAGAGTACCCGCAAGAGTGGTTGTGACATGTACATGCAAAACTGTTTGCAATGATTATGCTATTATTATGATAAAAATGGTGCAAAGTACGGCGTTAAAATGGGCTCTCTCCTTGTACATAGCACAATACATAAGTGATTGTGATCATAAATGTATTGAATTACATAAAATAACAATTGTGGATAAATATTTGGTAATTTGGGGGAGGGGGTGAGTGTAGGGGGGGGGGAAGCATATTAATGCCCGTGCATACCTTGTCTGATTGCTATGAAAATGTGATATTATCAAGCATTGGCTGATTCATGTTCGCACCAAGTATGCCAGTGTCATGGTCTCACTTATCAGGTGTGCGCACTTCTCCAAAAGGGACATTTAACTTCAATACGCACGTGCAAAATTGTGCTGCGGCTGTACATTATCGCCAACCTTATTGCGTGTGCTCACTGCACTGTGTTTGTGAAGAAGTGAGCGCATTCTAAGTAAGACTGTGACACTGGCTAAGCTGTGAATTGCTACCGAGATAATTGCCTACTTTTGCGTCATTTCGTCTATGTTAATTTAAGTATTTGTTTACAATATCATTTATAGATTAAACTCATTAAAGAGACACTGCAGCCTGGCAAATGCGCAATTGGGCTACAAAATGCATTTTGAGTCGAATGGTGTAAAGTGCTTGGGATATAAACAACTACACAAACATCCATTGAAAATCACCTGGGGGGGGGCACTTTTGCAACCCCCAAATATGTGTGTTCAGTGCTGGTTGAGATTCCAGCTGTAAACGTTTCACCCTCTGCGCACATCAACCGGATGTTTCAAGCAGGATATCGTAAACAATGCAAAACATGACATTTTCAAGGATTTCAGGGAACAATAATTTATGGAATTTTGAGGAAACATTTTTGCTATTTTGTTTGGTAGAATACTATTGTTTTATATTAAAGAAAATGCTTTCATACAAATAAAAAAATTATACAAATAAAAATGTGTTGTGTTTTTTAATCACAGATAGTATATGGTTATATCACATTTTAACCCATTAAAGTCCATCGCCATTTTATAATCTGCGTTGTTTCATAAAAAAAAAAAATTGTGTATGATGTTTCATAGCATCTTTTAAAACTCGTCATTTAACCCAAAAAAAATTGAAAAGAAAATGAAAAATGATGAAATACGCTTTAATTTGATGTGTGTCTTGAACACGTTGGAGAGTGAGTATTTTCCCGAATTTCTGAAGTGTGAGCATTTACCATTGGGGTCTATAAAAGTTTATTTACTGGTCTGCTAACTTTAAGCCACGTAAGTTTTGCGCACCGCGTAAACAACGTTCGTCTTACTCTATTGTTAGGTTTAAGGACTCGTTCAGTTTGAGAATACACTGTTCTAGTTTTCGGACCCAAAACCTCCAGCCAAACACGACGCAAATAAAAAAAACGGCGGTGATATCTGCATGTACAGCTTCATGTATGTATTACGCAGACAATTTATTCAGCCACAAGAGGGCGTCCTTACATTTCACAATGCAGGTTCTTTAAAGATTCTCATTTTCAAGTTAAGCACACCTCGGTTTAACCACAGGCTGTGGTTTCATTGTATGGAAATCATTTTGAAGTTTAAGGTGTATTTCATTGGAAAACAATGCTGAAAGTTCAAAAATCAAAAAAAAAAAAAAAAAATTACATTCAATGAATTTCAGATTATAAGGAAGCATGAACATAAAATCTGTCAAAGTTAGCCGAAAATCGGCTAAAACGGTCACTGTGGACAGGATTAGACCTCGGCAACACGTGCGCTGCATGCAGCCGGGCTGACTTACATACGATGTATGTGCGTACATATATGTACAACGTACGTGCATGTCATATACACATCGTGAAAGTCCTGTGCATGTTTTAAAGCTCTCTACCGCAACTTGCGCAAGGGTATTTTTAGCCGACGTCGCGTCAACTGTGTGAACAATTTGACAAGCTGGGAACCTGGCACTGTTGAGGCAAATGTTTACCCTATCATTTAATAGGAAATTCAAGATTATATCTGTACGGATTGACTTGTTAGCAATTTTTGAAAAAGGAAAGTTCTTTTCAACGGAACTTCCGGTCTGATGACGTCATACGCCTAAAACTTTGCACACGTCTTGAGTGGGTAAATATCATCATATACACCAATTTTTAGGCGATTCCAGCAACTTTCGCCACAGACATCTATTCAAAATACATTTTTGAAAATGTTCAACCTGTCGCTAGAGGACGATCAAAGATTGCATGACGTCATATGTAGATGATTTGAAGAATACGCTCAGCCAAGAGACCAACACCGTTAAAAGCAAGTTCATATCTATTACCACTTTTAAATAATTAGCCACTTCCGGTTTTGGCCTTTTTCGACAGGAAGCAAGGGTCACGTGATTTCACGCACACTAAATGAAATAAAGACCTCAACCTACTCTACCACCTGCCGGCAACAGAATGCTGCGGACGCATACGGTTGATTTCTTATGTATTTTTAAATATTAAAAGTGTCACAATTTAATTGCCCATTAATAAACACCGGATGACGTCATCATGACGTCATCATTACACAATGTTGTTTGAGTTAGGGTCTTTCCTTGGACAAAGATTGGTGTAAATGAATTACTGGCAAAGAGTCGAAAATGCCCTTTGAAAATCGATTAAATTAAAAATTAAAATATCAAAATCTACAATAAATTAGTCGATGACGTCACCATGACGTCAATCTTCGGGACACATCTTTGCTATAGGGACTATGCTTATGCTAAGTTTGAATGATGTATGGCAAAAATTAATGCCAAAAGTGGCACTGAGGAAAAACGTGCACAAAGTCAATGTCATTTGAAGTGGAACAAGAAGAAAGGCTTTTCCGCAACTTTGTGGAAAAGCCCCCCCAAAAAATGAGAACAAAACAAAGGCTTTTTCGCAAATTTGCGAAAAAGCCAAAAATCTTAACGAAAACAAGAGCTGTTTCGGTGTATACACCGAAACAGCTAAAAACTTAAGAAAAGGTACAGCAAGGTTTTGATTTTCTCAGATGGCCGGCAGTGGTGTAGTGAGATCCAATGCTCGACTCTTCACCGGTGCTCTTTTCAGTGTCTCAGGAAGGTCGTATCCTCTCAAAAATAAAGATGGGTGAAGTTCATCAGGATATGGCTGGCCGTATTTAAAGTGGTTGCTGCAGACTGTAGTCGATGATTTTACTTTGAAATCCTGCCGTTGGGTCAGTTGAGTCCAGAGAGGGAAGTGTTTCTTATCCCTGCATGAGTGGAATCTGAGTGTGTTTACATGCTCTTTGATGACATCTATCAAGAGAAGGGGAAACGTAAGATAGAGATATTTATTGTTTGATGACGGAGAAAAATAAACCACATAAGACTTCGCAATTATTTTATGAGTAAAACAATGGAGTAGGCTAGCTAGCTAAGCCTACTACAGTACTAGCTGACTAGGACAAATATGTACATGTGTACATGTTTTTTTTTTCACATTTTCGTGAACAGAATATAAATAAACAATCATGAAATTGTCTGTAAAAGTCAAACATCGTTCGCTGACAGAAGTAACAATTAAACCATTATAAAAGCCACATATTTGTCCGATAAGAAAAGAGTCATAAAAGGGAGCTTTTGAGGGGCACAGAAACTTCAATGCATTGGCCGACACAGTCATGACAGTGCAGAGTGTCCCGTGTTTCCCCGCTCGCGTGCCGGTCATCGGCACATCGCGATTGCGTCGGGTCGGAACTGTGCGCTACTACTTTTTGTCGCGAGAACTTTTTTTTTCTGTACATCAAAGTAAAGTAAAAATTCAAAGTAAAAATTTCGCTGCTCATATTGCTCATGAGTAGATGAGCAATGACTCACGAGTAAATGAGCAATGAAACTGAGTAGATGAGCAGTGACTCATGAGTAGATGAGCAGTGACTCACGAGTAAATGAGCAATGAATTGAGCAGATGAGCAATGGAAATGAGAAGATGAGCAGAAAGCAGTTACTCACGAGTAAATGAGCAATGAATCGAGCAGATGAGCAGTGACTCATAAGTAGTTATTTATATTAAACGTTTTTATCCGTTTCTTACCATTCGGAGCTTAACCTTCAAAACTGCAACATGAATGTTATTTCTGCAGTCAAACCTTATGCTTGTCACATGTGTGACAAAAGCTTCGGACGGAGATATAACCTACAGAGGCATGCAGAAAATGTACATGCTGTAGATGATTCTGAAACAGATGAAGTTGAGGAGGATCATTCTGAACCTGATTGGCAAAGCCGTAGATTTGAAGATCCTAATATGGAAAACTATGAAACTGAATTACGTATGATGAAGACGAAGATCTTGAGGACGATGATTCGGAATCCGAAACGGAGGTGGAAGATGACGAATTATCTGATGAAGACGAGTCTAGTTCTGATTTGGAAGACAACACCGCATATCGAGACTGGTTGAAAGAGTCCATAGAAGCCACCCAGGAGATGTGGAGTGACAAAATTTAATATGAAAAGTACATTAACGAGGATATGAGTAAAGATCGGGCCAAGGAAAAGGCCAACAGGAAGACCATGTGGGCAGTCGAGCGAATCTTTTTCAACAAATACAAGTATTTTTTGTTAAGTTACCTATATCTGAAAGACAGTGGCACTCATCAAGAAATTGTGGAAGATATCGAACGAAAATTGATTACGGGCATGAAATTGAACACTGCTCTGAACAGAATTATGCCTAGATACCGTAACACTTTTGACGGATTGTTCCAACAAGATGAGGATGAAGAAAACGATGAAGACAGTGATGATTAAAGACTAGTAGTTTCAAAAAGATTACTCATTTTTAAAAATAATCTCAGTGTCTTATAGGAAAAAAATAGTATTTGAAATAGTCTCCCCTTATCACTCTTATACAGTAATTCCTTATGGCTTAGAAGAAGAGCATGCCCATGCATGAAGATTTAAACTTGTGTCCACTGGGTTCTATATACGATGTGGCTTTAAATAGACAGTGTATTGTAAACCGGTATATGTCAGGTACAAAAGACAATATTATTAGAAACAGGTCTGAAATTATAAAATGGGCAGTTTATGATGACTGCATAATATTAGTGCACGTATATAAAGTTATATGCATGATAATGATAAATAAATTCTCAAATAATCCTTGAAAATCATCAGTGTGAAATGTTTTCCTTTTATTTATCTTAATACCCATTCCTTATTATTTGCTTTATTTGTTGACTACCTGGCCCCATACGTCATCCCTCATCAACAGTACAATGCTCCACGTGCACTAAACTGACCAGCAAATAAGTGCAATGACATCATAATTATGCGATGGCCCCCGAATCCATTCATGGCTTGGATATGTTCACAATGCAGGTTGTTATTGAAGCGATTATATAACGGTGACGATAATCCTTTTATCTGATTCCCATGACTGAGTCGTCAACTCAGTGGTCAGATTCTTCATAATTCAATACTCTGCTTATAAAATTGTTCCTCGGTACCGCTAAATCTCAAGCTCAGCATCGACGCACAGCGAGGCATATACATGTGATTGTATCTAACGTTCTCTTAGCAATGCGGCCACAAACAACGATTCCATACGGGGAGATTTTAAAAACACCGCGGACAATGCACATGACCGGACTTGTCCGGTTGTTTGTCATCATTCGATGAGTCAGCACTATGACGTCACTGGATTCCCCCATTCGAGTACAAAGGCTATTATGATAGAGTGGAAACAGGCACGAGTATGATATGCGGCTTGAAAAATCCCTTCAATTCAGATGTATATAGGGCTTTTTACTGTACTATACGTAAATTTATGTTATGTATTTGTCCCTATGTACATCGTATTGTTTTCACTGCTGTGATACGTATAATATTTGATACCGTAATAATGGTACGCGCCTTTATTATTTTAATTTACGCAAGCCCCTCCGCCCGTCACACTCCCCCGTGGTGAATGGTAGATTCCCGTTGCTCATTTTATGCTAATGAGGGTCACGTGGGGCCAAATCCGGACTTATGATTGGTCGAGAGCCCGTCAAAAATGGGTGAAATATCCTGGTTAGACGGGCTTCACTACTGATGTCACCTGGGCGGTGTCATTTTTACTTCCCGGATGCGCAGCACAATCGGCCAATGATGTGGTCCAATTTGATCATGAACATTTATAAGGTGTAGTGATACATATTATGATTTGTGCCTGACAAGAAGTTGCCAGTCAAGTTGATCAAAAGTCAAACAGTCTGAATGTTATGGTCTGGAATACTTACAATTCAAATAATGTGGATTAGCAAGACACTGGACGAACTCAAGCTCCACTTGGAATCTGTTTTTTTTTTCGGCATCTAGGCCCTCTAGTTTAAACAAAAAAGACAGAAGTTTTTTGTTAGTTTAGTAGTTCACAATGACATCATGGGGGATGTCTTGGATGTCTACACGCCCATGCCTAGGAACTGTTGACACCACCTAATAATGTAGTGCACTTGGATTGTTTACAAGCAGCACCTTGCTTGAGCAAAATTGTTTCCCAAATTCCATGGAAATGAAATTTCTGCAAGTTTGAAATATCCCTGTTCCTAATTCTAGCTTCTGCTGACAATTATCAAATATTCTTTTTAAATCCACTGTGAACCATTTTAGGTTCATGACATGGGGAGGCTCCAGTGTTCGACCGTGAGTGCTCAATTTTACTCACTCACTCTTAAGCCAGCAAAATTCTCCAAAGTTTTTGATGTGGCCAAAAAAAGGTCCTCAGTATTTCACCAACCCAGTTGGAAGACTCAAGTCAATTTTTAAAGGAGACTTTTCTTCAATATTTTTCACAATCTATTTTCTTGAATTGCATGTTTTGAATACCTTAAGTTTGGGGCTCTCATACACCACTATTGGGAGTTCCAAATTTTCGGACTAGGGAGGATGAGCCTAGTAAGCTGGAAATTTCAAGCCAACTTGTTAGTCCTGTTACTTACTTAAACCCTAAAGATTCACGCATAAAGCAAAATTTAGAGAAAAGGAGTAGGGAAAAGAGTTCCATACCTGGACATCACTTGACACCCTGTGCACAAACCCTACTAGTATGATACTGGTCTGAAAACAATTCTAAGGTTTACTCAGTAAATCAAATGCTTCAATATTTTCCCTGCTAAATTTGACTTTTTAGGACATGTTTATCGCTTTCTGATGGCTGATAGGTGGGCTGGAGTAATCGTATCTTTAGGACTTCGTTCCTATATACAGCTAACTAAATGACACTCAAAAGTGACATTTTGATATTTCTTGACACATATGAACAGCTGGTAATGACACCTTCTTGAATATTGACAGGTTTAATTTCGTGTGAAGAGGGCAGGACTTTGATTTTTGAGGGAAATTATGGGGGAAAAGACAACGACAACAACCAGAAAACAGGCTCAAGATGGCAACTTTGAAAGCTAGATGCAATAACAGCTAGACGCAATTCGGGCGATTCACAATGCAGTGCACCACCAAGAGTTTGCCACGGAGAGTTCGTTTTTCAAGTTTACGGTCGACAAAACATGGCCCATTTGAACGAGTGTCAGTAGAAACTTGAGCTAATTTGTTAAAGATTGGGGCAAAGCATTCTGCCGCCTTACAAAAAACTCCACATTGATAAAACAAAAAGAAAAAGGCAAACAGATACTTGAATCATATGCTTATGAACTTTCTGGCCTGAAAAACTAACAATTTCAAATGTCCCGCATTGCGCATTTGTCGACCATCTCCCACAATGCACTAGGAAAAAATATTTCTCCATGGCAAACTCTTGGTGGCGCACTGCATTGTGAATCGCCCGAATTAAAAGCTCGATGCTGATTGGATGATAACAAAATCTAGGTTTTTCTATCAGCCAATCAGCATCAGGCTTTCATTGTGTCAGGCTTTCATGCGTACTGGGAGAACTACAACGTGCAGGTCTCACGTCTCTGACGGCAAAAAGAGGTAGGAAAGTCACATTTTCCTTTGAAAAGACATTTCAAATTACAACAAACATGAGCTAATCTGAAGAAAAAAACTGCTTTTAATTAGCAATCACACCCAAGCTACACTGCGGCGGCACAAGTGATTTAACAGATAATCATATTGACCAGTGATTGTGCGTACAATAGCCTGGTCTGCTCCACGCGAAAACACGCTGCGCTTTATCGGTCAGCGGCAAAGTGCGACATTCTCGTCAAGCACTACACTTTTAACTTTCGAAGATAACGAAGGAAATACTTTTGATTCTCGATATGGAAAGATTCTTATAATGGAAAGATTTCCATATACGAAGTTCACTCAACACTCTGTGTACAAACCCTATGAGAGTGGACTGAAAAATTGTAAGTGTTTTCTAAGAAAATGCTTGTATTTTCTCACTGCTCAAATTGACTTTGATGACATGAAATTGCTATCTGGGGGCTTGTTAGTTAATACAGAGGAAAATTAGTGAACTTCGCATATGGTAATCTTGCCCCAATAATTTCCAGATTCATTTGCACACGTTTGCGTATCAAAAATTTCAACATAAAATTTCACAAAAATTAGACATCTGAAAAAGGCAGCACTTTTAGATTAGCTTATAAAGAGGGTGAGTATGTTCTAAAGCAAAAAAAACCTACAAACTAAGCCTAAATGTGAAAATCAAAATTTGAAAAAGTTCGACACGCTTTTGTACATGTGGAAGTGTGGCCTTTGTTTACGGAGGTAAATTGGCCACATTTAGGCCTATGGGGCTAGCCCGTGGTGAGCGTTCGCGTAATACGCGAAGCATTTTGCCCACAGACACAATAGCAAATGTTGTTACAACTCGACTCGGGACAAGTCGACCGTTGAGACAGCTTGACTTAATGGAAATGTATACACGTGGAGCGGAAAAAGTTGCATGGCAGGACCAATCCCGGGTGCGGCACGGGCATATACTCGATGCACAGAGGGCGCTCCAATCCGGTGGCGTCGCGTCGGGCCGGCGCGCCCTGCGCGAGGACCGGGCCCGGCCCAGCACGCAGGTACGGCAAGTGGGCCCACAGGCCCAGCACAAACGATGTCACCGTGCACGGTACGGCCACGTTGACCGACTGGGGATGAGATAAGTGGGCGCACAGGGCTGGCAAAAACGATGTCACCGACTCACCTTGCATGGTAGGCCTACGGACAAGTTGACCGGCAAATGGGCGCACAGGCCCGGCAAAAACGATGCCACCATGCACAGTACGGCCACGTTGACCGGGGTTGCGCGCACAGGCCCGGAAAAAACGAACGATGTGCACGGACAACATTATATCAGCTCTGTTATATGCAACCAAAAAAAAAAAACGTTTGTGTCATCACTCCCAAACGGCGATCAGCCACCGTCAAAATCCCCGGTACTATCCCCAAAACTAGGCCCCAAAACATGCAAGGCGACTTGTCTCAACGTTCGACTTGTCTTTCCATTTATCGCACATATGGTCGAGTTGTCTCAACGGTCGAGTTGTCTCAACGGTCGACTTGTCCCGAGTCGAGTTGTCTCAACGGTCGACTTGTCTGACCCCTGAATGGAGTGGCCCTGTATTGTTGTGCCGGCAAGGTGCCGAGTTGGCAAGGTGCAGAAGTGATCGGTTTAATACCGACTCAACCTCGTCCCCAGTGTTTACTTTATTTCCAACGTTGTTTCAATAGTAAACCCTGTATAGGAACCTTCCTTCCTGCATCCTGATTCGATACCGCAATTGGCTAGAAATGGATTTATATCGTGTACTTGGTGTTGTTATTCACAACGTGCAGGACGTGTTTTCGCGATCATTCGTCCACGCCTTCTCGAAAATATTCCTTTCCTTTCCAGTTTGTTAATATTAATGTGGCGATTCATAATAATTTGAAAATCATCAAAACGTATTTTGTCACCCCGTGCTTAGGCACGCCATACGTTTTGGATGCAAATGTATACATTGCGTGGCAAATGTATACATTGTGGCCTATATGACACAGCGCACAAAAGCCAGTGCATGCTGCAGATGCAGGGAGATAACGCTGTTTTGGCGTACTATTATTGAAGTGCAAGACGATAACTTTTCTTTTGGCTGAGCCTGGCATAGCCAGACATACCTAGTCTGCGACGTGTAGACCAGTTCGAGGGCTTTCTCTCCAAGCTGTGAGCTGTGCTGTTTTGTGTATCCTTAAATAACGGAAGCCAAAGGCACTGGGGTAGGTTTATCTGTATAATTTATTATTTAATAATATTTATAAATAAGACCGATTACTTTGTTAGAAACTTAATTGTCACCTCACTTATTGTAATTTTTCAGGGTTTTTACTTCTACTGAAAGAAGTCTTGTCTTCTTCGGGATAATAAAGCTAGATAAGAGATAGATCTGAAGCTTGTCATTTGTCATGTCATCTGTTGAATAAAACAACGGCGAGGCCTGCCGACGAGGCGACCCTTGATATGTGGCTTTCCAGCTATTACAGAATGGCGACAAGGATGGGATGACATGCCGTTTTCCACTTCCAGACAAGACCCCTAGTGTCAAATTTAGTTCGAACTTATCATTATAGGGCTGTATCAAAGATGTGTTTATTATAAAAATTTGTTTTAAGAGTTTAAACAAACTTGCGATTATTTGAAGAAGCTTTAAGCTTTGTTCAAGTTTCAATTTCAGCCCGTCGTGCAAGTTGGCACATGGTTTGGAGCTACATGTAGAATATTAGGTCGTGTAATTTGTGTTTTTTGGTCCCATTGATATTTTATTTACACGATTCACGTCGGTATTTATGGAAAATTAATGATACACTGTAGTGATTGACTGGCGATTGTACATGTTTTTGTACACAATGAAGATGCCACACATGTGTTAGTCTTTTTAAATTATTGTACTGTTCTGTGTGACTTGAATCTCCTCACTTACTTACCGTATTGTCCTGACAATTTGATATTTGCACCATGGCCTTACCTGCAGATGTGGCTGATGCCATATTGCAATCGAACCAAGCTCTCGCAGACACTCTTGCAGGGGCATTTCAGAATTTAAAGTACCAGCGAGTCAGCACAGTACGACTGGTGAAATTTTGTGGGCCTCCCACTAGAGCTGGGGATCAGACCATACATGAGTGGTTGGCCGATATCGGGACATATTGTAGGCAAGTTGGACTTGGAGATGGGGAAAATTGAGTACTGCCTTATATTACTTGGGCGGGATTGCAAAGGAAGAAGTGCTATGTACCCCTAACGAACAAAGGGATGATTTCAATAAGCTTACCGCGCTGCTGAAAAAAAAACCGGTTCGGTTCTCCAGAGTCCGTTCAATCCTTGACAAGAACCCTGTACGGCCGAATGCAGTTGCAAGGTGAAAGCCTTACAGATTA